AGAGAGAGAGAGAGTGCGCACAAGCAAGGCGAGCAGCAGGCAGAAGGAGAGGGAGAAGCAGACTCCCTGTTCAGCAGAAAGCCTAATGTGGGGCTTGATCCCACGACTTTGAGATCATGACCCAATTGGAAGGTAGTCACTTAACCCACTGAGCCATGCAGGTGCTACGGTCCCCTCAGGGGACCCACCTGAAAAGAAGACTTGGAGAAACACCTAGACATATGAGAAGGAGATTCATTTGCTAATCTTAAAACATCTACCTGAGGGGCAGGGATCTGTTGGGACTCTTTCCCCCATGGAGATGCTGACACTTTCCACCTTGGTAACATCCGTGGGTGCACTCCAGCCCAGGGCTCTCCTGGGGCCCCAGCCCTGTCTTCTCCCACTGCCTCGCTAAAGCTGGCAAGCATGCTCAGCCCACGGAGGGGACGCTCCTTGATCTCCTGGCTCTAGTGGCCAGAGGGCCTTGCCTTTCTGGGTCCCACAGGACTGTAACATTGGGGAGGTCATTCATGATAGGCTACCACCTCCAGGGCACTCCAAAGAGAGCAGACTGAAACACGCCCCCAGGCTTGCTGTGACAAAGGCCTATTTACGTGTCCTGGAACGTTAGCTCCAGGGGCACTTTGGATTTGCAGCACATCTGGAAGCTTCTCCGGGAACGGGACCTTTAGGGGGATGAGGGGGACGCCAACTTTGTGCTCTCTTCAGCCTCAAAGAAAACCCAAACGCTAATTCTTAAAGCTACCTGACAGGATGTTAATTTAAGGCCACCACGTTTCTGGGTTTTGTTTTATAGCCGACTAAGGCACTGATGCAATTAATATTTAGGAATAGTGTTTGGGCTAGTTTCTGAATTTCCTTCCAGCTGAAAAATTATGTGTAGTGATACATAAGCAAAAAACTTTAAAAGATGCAAAAATACTAAAATTACAAGTTAGGAAGAAATAGAGTAAATTTTTGAAAACAAGAGCTTACCTGTGCAGCTTAGATCGGGGTTCCATCGCCCATTTATGCATGTTGAGTGTTTCAGCTTTATTGTTCCTCTGCATTTATAACTTACATTCTTGTTATGATCATATACAGTCTTACTTAATGGTTGTGTTTGTTTGGTCAAGTTGAATTTACATTTTTCAAGTTCATTGGTTGCTATAAAATGAAGATATTCCCTTGAAAAGACTAATAAGAATCAAAGCAACTACTACAAAAAAATAGCTTTGAGTCAATAGTATAATGAAATTAGCATCTGAGCCCATAAATCCCACCAACCAATCTACTCCTGACCATATGGCATGAGATGGGCTCTTATGTATGGACATAAGTCTCATGTCCAGTCCTGGAGATTTCTGGGAAAATGTCCATCATAAATACCTTCTGCACATTGGGGATTAGAAAAGTGTAAGAGGCTCACTTTTTAGGATGATCTACATACTGAACAGTCATCACCTTGACTACATTTGGTCCCACATTTATCTGTGGAAGTAGAATGTATGAAATTGCTAGCTTAAATATATTTTTTCAATAAAGGTAATACAATAAGAAAAGTACAGCTAAGATGTCTCATACAGAATGTGAATATTTAAGTAGATCTTCGGCGTGATCACTAAAAAGTAGGAACAGATTCTTGGAATTAGAAGCCGATTTTAGTTTTACTGACTCTGAGTTAAATATACCAACTGTTTATATAGCTACATATTTCAAAAATTCAATGCAGATTGAAGTAAGTACAGATTGATATAGAGGTCTTTGTTAATGATTTGTTAATGGTTAGCCAAAGAAGTAATGATTTTGTAATAAAAAATAAAACAAAGGAGACTAATTCAAAACACATTAGAGGCTGAGAATTAGTCCTGTTTTTAAGGCTTGTCCACAATGTTGAGGGAGACAAAACAAGGTGTTTAGGTGATGGTAACTGAGGGACAAAAGGAGTGGTGGTAGTTGTTGTCATTGCCCTATGACTGACTGGTTTCTGAAAGAATTTCTTTGTTTATTAGGAGAAAATAAACATTCGGAGAAGAGTGAACAGCTAGATTAGCTGGAGGTATGATATTAATACCAAATGAAGAAAATTGGAGTAAGGTCTATGATAGGTGTAAGGGGATTATGTTAAGATGAATATAGGTAGAAGTTTAACCTTTGGAAGGCAAACTCTGAGATCAGAAAAGAATTATAATTGAAGCAGATATTTTAGAATAAGAATGAAAAGTTGAGCATTTTCATGCCTGTTATAACTTTGGGTTTTTCCCTGATGTGAAATAAGGGGTGATCATTGTGGAGATAGAAGAAGACAAAGATGAGGTTTGGTCTTAAAGGACTGACAATACTTTTAATGGGAATGCGTTTAGCAAAAATGTAAGGATTAATAAACAACAAAACTTATGATTCATTCAACAAACTCCTGTTTAATGTGTGCTGTGTGTCTGCCAGTCTTTTGGGTATTGGGAATACAACACGAACAAAAGAGGAGTAAATCTCTGCTCTCATGGACGGTGTGCCTAAGCCCTGCCTTCTCCTTGGAACAATTAATGCCTAGAAATCTGATGAATAAGTAAGACGGGACACCCAGGGCTCTCTTTGGATGTAGGACTTAGGAAAACTCTAGGAGAGAACTCATTCCAAGAGAAAAATGAAAAGGGTCCCCAATATTTTCCATGTTAGTCATAAAAGACTTGGTCATCCAAAGGTCAGGATGATTTACATACATCAACCTGAGTGAAGTCATCCATCAGATTTGTTTCCTGGCCTAACCCTGACTGCCTCTTTTAACGGAGTTCTCCTACTGATTGAGAGGGCCTGCGGCCCATCCACCCTCAGCACATTAACTTGTTGCATTTGAAACAGATTGGGAAATTGTTAGAGACTTCGAGAAAGGCAAGATTCCTATAGGAATGTAGCAAGTGGGTATTAACTTCCTTTTTCCAGGGTTTGAAATTAAGAGTACCACCTAAAAACAAAAGTGTTCTATTTTCCTGGCAATTAGTACTCATATTTAAATCATATGAATAACCATAAGTAAAATTTAGCTTCATACTTATAAACAATGTTAATATCAGGGACAGAAATACTGATAAAATTCTATTGCTAATTTGTAGACATATAATGAGCTATAAGCAATGTCTGCCTTCATTATAATTTAAGAACTGACTTTTTAAAATAAGATTTTATTTACATATTTGAGAGAGAGAGAGAGCATGAGTAGGAGGGTCAGAGGGAGAGGGAGAAGCAGACTCCCTGCTGAGCAGGAAGCCTGATGTGGGGTTTCAATCCCAGGATCCTGAGATCACGAGGTGAGTCGAAGGCAGACACTTAACTGACTGAGCCACCCAGGTCCCCCTGCGATGGGACATTTTCAAGAATATACTTAAATTTCAAAAATATGTTAGCAAATATAGCTTTTAAAATAAAATGCTAAATTTCATTGACTGTCAATTTAAGAAGTGTCTTCTCACCGATGCACTGAGGAAGTGGGGTCCACATTCCATTAAGACATGTAATTGACTTGTGTCCAATCATTGTGAAGTCTTCCATGCAATTGAACTCTGCTGAATCTCCATGGTGATAGGGAGGGACAGAAGACTGAACAACAGAGCCATAATGAAGTTCAGGTATCTCTCTACATGTACTCTCCACCTCTGTGAAAATTTCACAAAAATATTTTTACTTACAAAATGCAATTTATGTGTTTATATGACTACAGAGTGTTGATTTCTGTTTAAATATGAATATTTTTTATACATTACCAATACACACAGGCAAGTCTGTCCATTGTCCGTCAACACACTGAATTTTTTTAAAACCCTTCATCAGAAATCTAGTATTGCAAACATATTCCACCAAATCATTGTGTTCATAGATTTCTTTTTGTGTTTCTTTAACTTCCCCATTGAGGAGTTGAGGAGGTGGAGCACACTGTTTTGTTTGCTCTAGAAGAGAAATACTGTGTAAATAATGGTTAAATTATCTATTCTACAACTTAAAAATCCATAAAATAGAGTTTTAAAATTAATTTATGTAATTTACAATATAATTTATTATAGCATTCTTAAACAATGGTGTTACACCAGAAACATGTTTCCCAGTTCTATTACTTACACTGGACGAGTGTATTGGAAGTGTATTTAAGCCCAGAAAATATGTTTAATAATCTAGATATTCTAAAGATGTGTGCAAACCAATTAATAAATGTGGTTGTGTAAACTACAGCAATATTCATATTCCATGGAAACATTTCATTAGAAGTGTTTGAGAAAATGCCATGATTTGAGGCATTTGATCAAGATGTTTTAACTTTGATTAAAGCATACATGTGATTGATTGAATTGACAATAAGTTGCTTGAATATTGTTTAGACACAATGAAACTTGAGGAAAGGCCCATGCTATACAAAGTGTCCAATATTATTGGTGGAACTGTAGGCAAAAGGAAAAATAACAAAAGGAATGTGAGACATCATATGTGTATCTATGCATACTTCCACTACATATTTCTAGAAACAATTGGAGATTAATTGCTTAACTAAGGAAGTCTGAGGGATCTACTCACCCAGTACATGTCCTGGCTTAATGCACTAGATTATAGACTCACTCAAAGCCAACAGAAAATCAAGAGGTTAAAAAAGGCTGATATCCAAATCCTACTTCTTATTTTAGTGATTGTAAGATAGATATGCACCTTTACATGTTGGAAAATTAGGGGACCATCCAAAGTGGTAACATTGAACTGAATCTGGTCCAACTCTTTTAAGTCTTGGTTTGCAGGAGAATTTCAACGTGTCTCCAACTCTATATTTCTCCTTTCTGGGGTTAGCAATTAAGTTTTCTTCTACTTCTGGAACCTTGCATTCTATTTCTATAAAAAAAGTCAAACAATTTAGTGAGAATATTTAATCAATCATCACCAAAGTAAATTTTATGTGTCTTATAAAAATGAGGATCTGAATACTGCATATACAGAGGGGCATCAGATAAATCCTCCTCCTTGAAAAATATTCCATATTAGATTTTACACACCTAAATTCATAGAGGACTAAGGAATATTAAGGCATTGAATAGCAATATATGTATCCTGAAAATTTATTTGTAATGTCAACTTGCTTATATTGGATCTGGTTTTATAACTGCCATTTATTTATAAAATATAATGTGATATTGTTTTGTACTCTCAAAACAGGAAAGTATTCTCTTGCATTAGAAAAAGTGATGCTATAATTTTAAAATTGCACTCAAATAAGAATTGGTATTTTAATTTAATGTAAATATAATTGGAGAACCAGAACACACTTAAGGCATTTCTAGTGTAGCTTAAAGACACTGTTAAAATTGCTTAATTTATATTATATTATATCATGTTAATTATATTAGTAAAGAAATAAAACTGAATCGTAAACTGAAACATGAAACAAAATAAAGAAACATGTTCAAGGCCACATAACTAGGTATATTCTAGGTGTCCTGAGTATTTATATAATATACAACTATCTATTCTTATTGAACCCACAATTTATATCATCTGTTAATAAACTGTTGATTATGATGATTCAATTTAAGAATATGAAAATTATCCCTCTAAATTTGTCAAGTTTGTGACATTTGTGACATTTATGACATTCATAAATATTATAAAAAGAATACCTGAAAAAACAGCACTTACCATAACATTCTGGTTTATGAGACCAATCGTCATTACCACACACTATGGAACCTGCGCGCCCATCTCTGCTTTCAAATCCATCAAGGCATTCATAGTCCAACGTGTCATTGACTTTAAACCACTGGCTATTGCTTCTGATTCTGGCATTCTCCAATACTGGCGTGTCACAAGATTCTAATGCATAGTAGAATCCAAGGTTTCATTTCTAATATTATTTAATGGACAGTGTAATTAAGTCTCATCCCAAGGAGGTCAAAAAAGCTTTATCAATTAGTATGTGCCAATAAATTAAGTATCCATATTAAAAGAATCTAATACCAGTGATAAATCATTGTCCTGAAAAAGTTACTCAAAATGAAAAAAATATGTTTCTACACAGAGTTTTTCTTATCACTGTGAAAAATTTACTCTAAGAACACTTTTCTCATTTATACTTATGTGTTTATCCCATGTTTATAATAAAATAGGCCGTTACAGGTGTATCAATACTTTAGCAAAGGGGAAGAGCATTTTGTGAATTAAGATGTCAAACTCATTAGCAGTGTGACAAATAGGCCGGATTGGTTGATTCAAGATTAATTTTCAACAGTGCAAGTAATAAACATTCTATAAAACTGTACTTTAGAACATAATAATTTCCAAAGCTCATAAGCTTATTTTCTTTCCCCAATATATTCCTAATGGCTGTGTATTCTTTTAAACTTACCAAGATTGAATAGAGAGATAACTCAACTTTTTAAAATTTGTTATAAGGAAGTAAAGTGTTAAAAGTGTCAATTTTTGCTAACACAGTAGTAGAATGATGTTAACAAAGGTTGTAAATAATTCATCTCAAATGTTATACTGTGTTATGTAGGCAGCTACCTTAAAGCTTTAAAAAAGAAAGCAAAGCTATACTAGTGAAAAATGAGAGAGAGAGATTTTCTCTTCCATAATAAGAGTGTTTTAATGGATAACTGATTGCAATTTAGTATAAAATGAGTTCGATATGGGAAAAACTTTTTTTCCCCCCCTGTGGCTAGTGCCCATAGTAAACATGGAAATGGAAAGAAATATGGAAATGAAAACAGTAGAAACGGACATTCAAATATCCACTTTACTCTAAGTGAACATGCTACATATCAGTTCAGACTATCACTGTGTAGCTTTGGAGGATAAGATAAACTGAGCAAATTGTTCTTAGAAAATCTTCATAAATATCTAGGGACAGGGAAGTCTTTCAACTCAACTGCATTTGGTACTATCTAGAAACATTTCTGTCTTTAATAAATAGATATTAATGCAGATTTCCTAAGGGAGAGGATTTTTTAGAAGTGGACTTACACTGGATTATCAAACATGTAAATTCTATAGGTTAAATTAAAATTATGCACTATGGACCCAGGTCTTCACTTAAAAATGTAACTTTTAGGGGCGCCTGGGTGGCTCAGTAGTTTAAAGCCTCTGCCTTCGGCTCAGGTCATGATCCCAGAGTCCTGGGATCGAGCCCCACATCAGGCTCTCTGCTCAGCAGGGAGCTTGCTTCCTCCTCTCTCTCTGCCTGCCTCTCTGTCTACTTGTGATCTCTGTCAAATAAATAAATAAAATCTTAAAAAAAAATGTAACTTTTGTGTCTGGGAACAAAGAATGACATAAAGTTTAATCACCTTAAAACAGGTATAGTAGGCACAAGGATGTCAGCTAAAAATAAATGAGTTTATAGAAGAATACACATAAGCCTCGCTATCTAGTTTCCAAATCACAGGATGTTTTATTTTAATTAATTAATTAATTAATTAAATCAGAGGAAGTTTTAAAGTGGAAGAAAACTTGAACTGAAAGATGGACTGATATGCCACCCTACAAGTGATTAATTTTAATAGTAAAAAAATATATTTTTTATTTATCTTTTTAAATGAGAACCACGTCAACCCTTGCTTGCAGAGAATAATTAAGTTAAAGTAAACTTTTGCAGAACGATCATCAGGATAATGAATATGAACATAAAATTACTCACTAATACATGTGGGTTGAGGAGACCATCCACTTTCCAGACATGTAATTGATCCTGACGTTTTACCATCTGGTGTTACATATCCAGATTTACACTGATATTTTGTTTCTTGATTCAAGGAATATGCAAATTCATATTCAGAAAAAAATCCATTTTCAATTGTTATCTCTGATTTTGAGCATCTTTCTGAAAGGGAGAAAGTATAAGGAAAAGATAAGCATGTAAATAAACATTTTTGTGAAGACTCAAATAATGTAACAATATAAAAAATAAGGAGTCATTTATAAATGAAAACCCAGAAAATCCAAACCACCCAAATTCTTGAGACAGAGAAAATAAGCTATGTGTTTCCAAAGACATTAAATCAGGATAGTTCATTAAAAAAAAATTTTTTTTTTTTGGAATAAAGAAGCAAAATTTAGAATACTCAGAATCCCTTCTAGGAAAATACTAGAAATTTGTCTAATGGATCTGGAATCCTACAGCATGCCAGAATTATACTGGCAACGGATCCTCTCCAGGAACTTGTTTTAAATATTGTGTACTTAGCATTTCTTTAGCAACCCCAGCATTCAGTTAACTAATTGAGATATCTCGATCAGGTGGTGATCTCAGAGAATCTGCCACCATAGCTACTACAATTCTGAGAATTTGAAATCTTTGTCATCATAATTGTGTGCTTGAAACCACATGGATAAATGGAGTTTGATGAATATAACACAGATGAACACATTACATTCATTTATCGTCTAATACCAAAATGATGATCCTCAAATTACGTATAACTTCACTTGAAGCAATAAAGAAGACTTTTGTCAGTTACCGGGTCTCTTCACAAAATTCAGCTTTATTTATCGACTAGCCCATGGATAAAGAAGAAATCAAAGGAGAAGACATGGAGTATATATTTTTTCATAATTGGTAATTTTATTCCTTCACGTGGGACACCTAACACTCAGGATATGGAATTAAAGTATATATATATATATATATATTTTTTTTTTTAAGGCAAGCATCGCCTGTGTGGCTCAGTTGGTTGAGCATCTGACTCTTGTTATCAGCTCAGGTCTTGATCTCAGGCCTGTGAGTTCAAGCCCAGTGTTGGACTCCAAGCTGGGCATGGAGTTTACTTAAAAAAATAAATTAAAAAAGACATCAAGTCTTTTCAATTGAATGATAAAAAAAACATTTTAAATAAAATTTTGTGAGATGGTACTAAAGTAGTGCTGAGAGGGAAATTTTACCATTATATAACTATGATAGAAAAGAGTAGACAGCATATTGACTCATTGTTTCTGCTTTAAGAAATTAGAAAAAGAAAACCAAAGAGAACCCAACGTACACATAAATTTGAAAATACAGACTGTTTTTAGAGAGATGGTGGAATAGGGTGCTTTATTATTTTCTATTTGATTTATTTCTGCTCTAGTTTTTATTATTTCCTCCCTCTAATTTTGGGCTTATTTTGTTTTTCCTTTGTTTCTTGAGGTATAAAGTTGGGTTGTTTATATAAGATCTTCTATTTTAATGTAGGCATTTGTCATTAAAAACTTCCCTCTTCCCATTGCTTTCGCAGCATTTCTAAATTTTGTTACATTGTGTTTTTATTTTCATTTGTCTCAAGATTTTTTTAAAAAAAGATTTTATTTACATATTTGACAGAGAGAGGAGACACAGCCGGAGAGGGAACACAAGCAAGGGGAGTGAGAGAGGGAGAAGCAAGCTCCCCACTGAGCAAGGAGCCCAATGTGGGACTCGATCCCAGGACCTTGGGTTCATGACCCGAGCCAAAGGTAGATTCTTAACAACTGAGCCACCCCGGCATCCCTTGTCTCAAGATATTTTTAAAAATTCTCTTGCACTTTCTTCTTTGACCCCATTGATGTTTGAGAGTGTGCTGTTTTCTTTCCATTTGTGAATTTTCCCATTCTTTTTTCTGTTACTGATTTCTAGTTTTACTCCACTGTGGTTGAAAAAGATACTGCATAGAATCTTTCATGTGCAGTTGAGGAGAATGCACTCTTCCACTATTGGGTGGAAAATTCCATATATATCTATTAGGTCCATTTTGTTTATATTGTTGTTCAAATCTAGAACTTCTTTCTTGGATTTCTGTCTGGGTGTGCTATCTATTATTCAAAGTGGGGTATTGAAATCTCCTAATATTATTGTGTTGCTATCAATCTCCTTTTTAGATCTGTCAATATTTGCTTTACATATTTAGGAGTTCCAATGTTGCATCCACAATGTTGAAAATTGCCATGTTGAAAATAGCTACATCTTCCAGTTTAGACGTAAAGTCAATTTTTAACTTTTTAAAAAAAGATTTATTCGTTTATTTATTTGGCAGCCAGAAATCACAAGTAGGCAGAGAGGCAGGCAGAGAGAGAGAGGAGGAAGCAGGCCCCCGCTGAGCAGAGAGCCTGATGCGGGGCTCGATCCCAGTGTTGGGTTCCCCAATGTTGGGTCCCCCAATAATGGGTCCGTGATTAAAGGAGTGAGATTGATACAAAGTGAAAGTCAAGCAAAGCTTTATTTCACGCCAAGCATCGAGAATCAAACTGACCATTCGGGACAGTCTCTTACAGAGAGGGCGACTCCTCCCTGCCTCACAGACTAACTTTTATAGAGCAAAGGCCATGTGGTTGAGCCTGGCCACACACATGTGGCCAATGAGATTGCAATACACAGAGAAAGCTGCATAGTCATGCTAGGTCACACATGTGTGGCCAATTGAACTACAATTCACCCCATAGTAGCTATTTGAACTAGCCTATCACCTTATTCAGAATGGGTGCCCAAAAGGGCGGGGCCCATACTCCTTGGTAGCTAGGGGACAGTATGCTCCCCCACTGATTGAATGTCTCCACCTGACCTGACTCATCCTTGTTTTTGGGCTTCGTTACCTGGGACTGGTTTCCTGGACTTGCTTTTAAGTATGTCCTCCTTGGGGGGAGCAGGGTCAATTTAGGTTTTACTGTATAAACAACAAAATGGCAGTTCAACCAGGGTGGGGCTGCTCTGGCTGAATAGGCCCTTACACCAGGACCCCGGGACCATGACCCAAACTGAAGGCAGAGGCTCTAACCCACTGAGCCACCCAGGTGCCCCAATTTTAAATTTTTCTGATAGAAGTATAGCCACTCCAACTTTCTTTGGTTGCCATTTACATGAAATACCTTCTTCCATTCCTTTAATTTTAACCTATTGTGTCTTTAAATCTAAAGTGAAAATCTTGTTTTTTACTTATTCAGGTACTGTATTCTTTTTAATAGGTAAGTTTAATCCATTTACATTTAAAGGAATTATTGATAGGTGAACACTCACTAGTTACCTTTGGCTAATTGTCTTCTGTTTTGCAATTGTTTTTTTCAATATCTTCCACTTTTGATGACTTCCTTTGCCTTATAGTTATTTACTTTTTCTTATCTCCTTATCTTTTGTGTGTCTATTATAGGTTTTCCTTCCTACTTTGTTGAAATATAATTGAAAAAATTGTATATATAAAGTGTACAATTAGATGATTTGATACACATATACATTTGGATATGATTTTAGAAATCGCATTAATCACCTCACATACTTATTATTATTATTATTATTTTGTAGCTGGAATGCTTAATATCTACTCTTTTAGCAAATTTCAGCTATGCAATACATTATTACTAACTACAGTCATCATACTGTACCTTAGATCTTCAGAATTATTCATCTTATAACTGAAGGCTTGCAGCCTTGGACAAGCATCTCATTTCCCTCATCTTCAAGCCCCTGATAATTACCATTCTACTCTCTGCTTCTATGATTTTGACCTTTTCTTTCTTCTTTTTTGATTTTATCTACAAGTTTAATCATGAAGTATTTGTCTATCTCTGGCTTATTACGTTTAACATATTGTCCTCTAAGTTCGACCATGTTGTTGTAAATAGCAAGATTCTCTTTTATCTCATAGTTGAATAATATTCCATTGTACATATATATATCACATCTTCCTTATCCATTAAACAGCAATGGACACTTAGGTTGTTTCTATATGTTGGCTATTGTGAATAAAGCTATAATGAACACAAGGGCACAGATATTTCTTCAAGACACTGATTTCATTTTCTTCAGATATATACCCAGAGATGAGAATGCTGTATTATATGGCAGTTCTATTAACTTCTTGGGGAATTCCATACTGTTTTCCATATGCCTATAACATATTGCATTCCCACACAAAGTATACAAGTATTCCCTTTACTCCACATTCTCACCAACATTTGTTATCTCTTGTCTTTTTGGTAAAAGCCATTTTAACAGGTATGAGGTGATAGTTCATTGTGGTTTTGATCTCAATATGTGGTTTTGATACACACACACACACGCACACACACACATATACTCAGATCTATGGTTTGCAAATATTTTCTCCCATTCCATGGGTTGCCTTTCATTTTTTTGATTTGCTGAGTAGAAACTTTTTCATTTGATATAGCTTTATTTATTTCAGCTTTGCTGTCTGTGCTTTGATATCGTGTCCAAAAAATATCATTGCCAAGACCAATGTCAAGAAGATATGTATCTTCTAGGACTTCTATAGTTTCAAGTCATGTTTAAGTCTTTAATTCATCTAGAGTTAATTTTCATTAGTGTTTTAATATTGTGTTTTCTTTCTTTCTTTTTTTTCTTTGGCTTGTGGATATCCAGCTTTCCCAAAACGATTTACTGAGGATACTACTTTCTTCATGTTTGTTCTTGGCTCTCTTATCAAATTTTAATTAAGGATATATCTGTGAATTTATTTCTGGCTTCTATTTTTATTCTGTTGATCAGCCAATAAGATATCATTTTCATTTTAATCACTTTATAATATAGTTTGAAATTAGGAAGCATAATGCTTTCAGCTTTGCTCTTCATTTCCTTCAGCTTAGCTCTTCTTTCTCAAGAGTGCTTTGGCTCTTTGGGAGTCTTTGTGGTTCCATGTAAATTTTAGGATTATTTATTCTACTTCTGTGAAAAATGCCAGTGCTATCTTGACAAGAATTGTGTCTATAAATAGCTTGGGGTAGTATGCATATTTTAACAATATTAATTCTTCCAATCCATGAACATAGACTATCTTTCCATTTATTTATATCTTCTTCAACTTATTTTATCATTGTCTTATTGTTTTCAGGATACAAGTCTTTCATCTCTTTAGACAG